CATAGGCCTGTCACTGACAAGCCACTGGCAAGAAGGTTATGATTATCATAATTCTGCGTTAGGTGATGAAACAGCCTGTCACAAAGTTAACAAGCTGTTGTCAGTCCAAACATCCCTTAACTGTGTTAAGGCCCATTTTATTTTCCTCACCATGTGTTACTTCTTTAACATTCAGTTCTTCAAATTCTTCACCTTTATTCATTCATTTAGACACAGATGCTGCAGCCTAAGAGCTAAGCATCAGTATTCCTTTTGGGGGAAAAAAAAAAATGAAACACCTGGTGCACAGAAAGCTTTGCTCTGTGCTCATTTACTGTGCTCAATCTGATTCAGCAGCGCACGTGTATGAGAATGTTCCAGGCCTGTGTGCAAGTGGAAAGTCATAAGGGGAAGGGACCTGAGCTAATGGAAGAGTTTTGGTTATTGAAAGCTAGTTGAAAAAATTAGTTGGAAAGCAAATGGTGAAACCTGAGAGAAGTGTATGAGCTTAGGGCCTTTGTCTTCTGGCAAGGCATGAATGAACACTGACAGTGGTGGCAGTTATCCTGCTGTATCGTGAAATGCCTAACAAAGACATTGTGAAACTTAGATTGCATTAAGAAAGGTTTTAACATTTGGGTTAGTCAAGATGCTCTATTATTAGTTCACAGGTTTTGGGGGAAATTTTGTATTACGGATAATACTTTTTATAAAAAGAGTGAAGTGAAAATAATTCATTAAATGCCATAGGTAATTTCTGAAGCAGAAAATAAAATCACCACCACCCCTATTATTTATTTTTTTTAGTTATTCAGTTCTTGTCAGATGTTAGCTCTAAGCTATAGCAAGTGGTCAGTATGAATTCTGCTGTTTCCAGGTAACAAATCAGTTTGTACTTGTGCTGTGCTGTACACATGGTGAGTACAGCACTTTCCCACTCTTCTCTAATTTTTTAGGTAGATGAACATCATGCTGACTCATAGTGACCTCCAACCTTCAGAAATTCCCCTCAGATTTTTAGTTGATTACAGCTGGAATAGAGTTGCAGTAACAAGTGCTTAAGGCCATGAGCCTGTTAAGTTCATAGTTGCCTAAATGTGAGACTTCAGTTGCCATTGCCATAAGTGAGACTTGCAGCATTTCAAAATCCCACTTTTCAGTGTCAGATCATGACACTAGAAGAAACCTGGCTCTGAAAACTGTAAAACTATATCCTTGATCACATACCTTAAGTGAGCTGGTTTCCAAAATTCTTAACTGTTCAGGAGCACTCAGCAGTTCAGAATCAGGACTACTTATATTTAGATACTGGGAATTGGATTGTAAGAATCTTGCTTAGTGGCCTTTTAAAAAAATGAAAACCAGGCTATACATTTTTTAAGGCTTCTTAAAACAATCATGGATACTTGATGGTTTTGAATATCTAATTTGTAATCAAGAGCTTTCTGATTCAGTGGCTGGCATAAACATTATAAAATGCTCTTCTATTTATGCACTAGACATACATTGAAAAGAAGGTATGTTTCAGTGTTTGAGGTAGGTTAATTTTTTTAGTCCCTACTCAATAGTGAGTAGGTTAGAATTTCAGTTGAAACAATTTTCATTGAAACTTTTGCTTTTGAGTATTAGCATTCATTCAGTGTTTGGGCTTTTTCCCTTTCTTAACCTTACAAATAAAATCTTTGCAACCTGACCATCTAAAATGTGAGCTCCTAAATTGTCGTTTTGAACCACAGCAGTGGTTATTTTCAAAAATAGCAAGTTTACCTCTGCAAAGTTGGCATGTACATATTTTCTCAGACTGGCTAACTCCCCATGCAAACTGGTATTTAAAAGAAGTTACACAGCTTCACAGCCCACATTGCAGTGTTTCTAGTGCTGGTGCAAATTCTTGCAAGACTTGCACCTGTTTCTGAAGCGGCTTTGTTTTAAGCAAACAAGAAAGTTAATTATTGTTACATTTGCTTTAATGCTGTAAAACAAATTTATAGAAATGCCAGGCTAAAGCCAGTACTATGACTTTGAAGTAACTCAGTGATGAATTATACACACACACACACAGAGAAATGACAAAAATTTCTTTTATTTTCTGTCTCCCTTTAGAACTATTTCTTCCTCACACTACTTGCAGTACAACCTGAGGAAGGAGTTGTTTATAACAGAAATTAAACATACTGGGGAGGGAGTGGTTTATAATTCTAATTTTATTCTGCTTTTAATGTTTGCATTTCCAGAATCAAACGGTTTCCTAGGTAGTCCCTATAACAGCCTGCTTTTCTTGTTGCTGTCCCTGTGACCCTTAAAGTGGTGTGGGCATTTCAGTTGCCAGTCCTGCTGGGACTCAGGTATCAGTTCACTTGTGAGCCCTGCTCTGGCCAGCATCTGTGACTCTCTTTTTGTTGATCTTGAGATACCTGGCCAAGATACAGCTGCACAGTGGACCGCAGCTTTTAGAGGTGATAAACACACCTTGTATGCACATGCTGAGTGTCAGTGCTGGCAGCCAAGGAGTTGAGGGGCAGCCACTGTGAGGAGAGGCAGCCGAGGGTTGCCCCGTGCCAGACCCATCCAGTTCTAGCTGGTTCCTCAGCAGCCCCACGACAGGCACCTCGTGAGGAGCAAGGGAAGAGTGGGAGGAACAGCCCTGCTGGCAGGCAGCCAGGCAGAGCAGGAGGAGGTGGAGGAGTCAGCAATGAAGGAGTGAAGTTGAGCCTGGCGAAATGGTGGGCATGGGGAGTTTTAGTTTTTGCCATCCAACTCCACTGTAATTGGCAATAAATTAAACTAATTTTCCCCAAGCCAGGTCTGTTTTGCCTGTGATGGTAACTGGTAAGCGATCTCCCTGTCTTTACCTCAACCCGTGAGCTTTTCCATCTGATTTTGTTCCCCATCCTGTTGAGGCAGCTTGCTGGGTAGCTGGCACCCAGCCTGGGTCAGCCCACCACACTGTGCTTCATTGACTATGGCAGGGGGCTTAGAACTAGATGGTCTTAAGGTCCTTTCAAACCCTAAACATTCTATGATTCTATGATTTACTTTTCTCTAAGAAGGATTGAATATTTTGACAGAATATTTCATACCCCACTTTTTTTTTGCCCTGATGGCTTACCAGAGAAGGAAATCCTTTTGAACTTTAGTTGATAAACCTGTGTTTGTTTTCACACGGAATTCCTTTTCTGCTCTTGAAAACGCAGTGCACGCTATATTGAGTGCTAAAGTTTTAGTCTACTTTTAGTAAAATCTAAGTAATCTTCCCCAGATAGTTCAAGTAGATGCTAAACAGGTACTAAATAAAAATAATAATAAAAAAAAGTTATAAAAAACAAGAATAAGTGTTTTTAATAGACAAAGTACAGAACAATGAGAAAGCCATTAAAATTTGGGGGTTTTGCCTTTAAATTGTATTCAAGTTTATTTTATCTTCTTTTTTGTAGTACACTGCCTGATTATTTCTGATCTGAGAATGTGCAGGCTTTCGGAAGTTTGTGAAATGCGCTTCTTGCTCTCATATAAGCAGGGCATCCTATTAAGCAAGCATAGATTTACATGAAGAATATGCTAAATGGGTTAAGAACCCAGTAGGAGGGGAAAAAAGCCCAAACCAAACACTTATTATTGTGTACTTACTATTGCTTCATTTTCATTCTCCAGGACATCACTTGAAATGAATTTTTTGTATTTTTAATTTTTTCTAATTTTCTAGCACAGGAAAATACAGTACTTTAGCCAAAATATTTAAACACCATTGATTTAAAAATAGTAGTCTGTGATCCTTTTGTAGCCTCTGTGTGGTATTGAAAAGGGGTAGCAGGAAACAAACAAACAAACAAGAGTTTTAATTTGTCACCCAGAGTTCTGACTCCCTCTCCTGCTCACATTTGTCTAGCCACTGAGTCACTGAGCTTACAGAATTGTGTAACTTTCATTTCTGTGGAGGCTTCTTATATTAGAGAAGTTGTTCCAAAAAAAGCAACAATTATGACATAAGCACATCTGGTTCTTGCAAATTATTCTTTATTAAGCTTTCATTTAATTACATGTGCTGAAAGGTCTGCTTTTGATTACTGTATTTTCTTTTATTGTCCATCTGAATGATAGTGATGTTGGAAATTGCATACAACCCACCTGGCTTTTTTTCTCACTAATCAGGCAAAGTTTATACAGATCTATGTGTAGAAGAGGGATTAGGATCTTCTCTGTTTATGGTAGAAGAATTATTGATGATGCTAATTCAAGGTGAAAGTTTAAATTTGGTCACTGTAAGGGAATAAAACCTGTTTGGTTTTGTTCAGTAAACACTTTAGATTGGTAGGAAAACTTTATTTTAATATACAAGTCTTCTATTATGTTTCAACTTTTGAAAAGTTTCATGAGGGTTTTTTTTCGTATTTCCATCAGAATTTGCAGGAAATTTTAATGCCCTACATTCCTTATTAACACTTATAGAAGTTATAACAATCACTGTACACTGAGACGGAGACATACCTTGTTGCCTATTTTAATTTTTATTACTATCTAGAGAAGATGCACCACTGACTTTTAGTAGCAAATGATTCCCGTGTCAGGTCATTGTAGAGATTCTGGAATTGGTGTGTATTTTCTGGCTAAGAACAGAAAAACCTTAAGCATTGTTATTTCTGACAGGGGTTTATACCTCCTTTTCATAGATAGCCTTATAATTTTGCCAATTTGGTTTTTAATATTCAGGCACAGTATAACCTTTTCCTCATTGTTATGACCATGGCAAGAAGGGGGAAGAAAAACAACCAAACAAACATCAGCTGAAAGTCAAACTGAAAAGATATTGGTGTTCGGTAGGTTTTTTCTTGGGAATTTTTTTTTTTCCCTGCCTTTTTTTTTTTTAATAACAAGAAGGGAAAAGCCACAAAAAAGAAACTGCTGAAAATTATCTATAATTCCTTTAAGAGAAGCCACAGCAGGGCAACAAAAATTATGTACATTTACAGCCTCTTTTTTTAGGAATTTTGCAGGAATACATTATATATTTTCTTGTCTTCCAGCAACTGTATGCAGCTCAGCTGGCAAGCATGCAAGTTTCTCCTGGAGCCAAAATGCCATCTACTCCACAGCCACCAAATACAACAGGAGCACTCTCACCCACTGGGATGAAAAATGAGAAGAGAGGGACCAGCCCGGTAACTCAAGTTAAGGTATTTTTCAGTAAAAAGAAAAGTTGGTGTCTGAAAAGGGTAGTGAAATTAAATTGCCTATTTAATTGGTTTACAGTTTGAAGTTGAACCACATGAAAGTTCTTCAATATTCAAATAAAATGTTCAGTTTTAGTGCTGTATTATCAGCATAGAGAAGGGAAGGGAAAGCATTCACTTCTTGCTTCCAAAAATAACAGGCATCCCTCTTCCTACCACAGGCAGAATACAGATTCATCAGTAAAATGTGATATTGTCAAGATTTCAGTCTGTAATCTTGTAATATATGTGCATGAATGGCGTCCATTTCATGAATTGTTTCACACTGAACTTCTGAGTATCTTAAAATGCGGTGCTAGCTCATATAGTTAGGGCAAGAGAGAGACTGTAGATCTTCTAATTATTTTAGAAATCTCTGACTTCATTAATTCTACAATTTTGGAAAAGGCCATACATAAAAATAAGATTTAAGTCAGGAGTCCAGGGAAAACTGTGTCACCGCAGATTGATTTGACTTTTGCTGATTTCACACAGCTGCTGACAACCGGGCTGCTCCTTGTTGGTTTTGTGCCATTGCTGAATGCTTGTGCCTGCTTATTCTCACTTGCTTGGAACCAGGCAGCTACAACATGGCATTTGCCAGCAGCTTGAAATGAACATCGTACACCCCTTGAAATCTGTGGTGCAGCTAGTACTTCTGGGTGGAACTGCCTGGCTGTTACTGCTCTGTTCTCCTGTGGTTGGTCTGAATTTCATGTGACTCGATACCCTCAGAAACAATTTACTTCAAACTGCAAAAAAAATCAACATTCGGATGTTTTACCAGTTTGAATGATAGCACTACAAATGCAGAACTATTGAAAAAGGTGTAAAAAACACATAGTGGCTTTGTGGAGAGAGAGAATGTGGTATTTTGCTTGCTGCTAACACCTTACAGGCACACAGTCGTTAGCCTCAAATCAGCCTGGGAAGATTTTACTCACTTGAGGTGATTTGGGTTTTTTATATATTTTTTTTGACATGAGACTAAAATATCATTCGTTTTTTCATTATCATCAATCATTGTGGTAAAGTGGGGGTGAGTGGATAATTCTGCCTGGGCTGATAAATTTCCATGACACTTTTTTGCTAGGCTGAGAGTACTAATAAATAAAAACTATTCCATTATGTCCAGACCTAACATTTATTTAGCAAAGCATTCACTTTACTTAACTGTAGATGTGTATTAGTCTAATATTTTACCTCTTGTAATGCAGTGCCAGGCTTGAGTGCAGTCAGTGAAGTTTACCCCATATGCACAGTTTGTTATGGTCAATACGGAAGCCACCAAAAGCAAAGCCCAACTGTTTCAGCAAAGTTGCCATAGTATAGTGATACCTAACACCACCGATTTATAGTATTGAGAATATACTACTGACTACTTTAATGTGAAAAAGTAATTTCATAAGTGAGTGAGCCAAATGGATCTACACCAAACCAAACCTTTACAATATGAGTAAAATTTTCCCTGGTTAAATTCAAGCACATATCTCCTTGAACCAAGACCAATACCAATACTATTTCAGCTTTGTGGCCAGCTGAGTCCTATTACAGAATTGACCACATGCAAATTCTTGGGGGTTTCCCTACATAATTTCACTTGAATGGACTTAAATATATGTTAATGAAAAAAAAAACCCTTTTTATCCTATTGTATTAAGCACACTATTGCATCGAAAATATTAAAAATAAATTACAAGTGCTTTGTGTGGACAGATATCAATGGCTAATGAAGAAATTAATTATTATTATAAAACAGTACCTATATGCTGCCTTTGACAATTGTTACCTTCATAAAAAATAACAGTTTTGATGGTCACGCATTGCTTCCTCTATATTTCCACACAATCTCTTATTTTCTCTCTTTTAAATAGCTATTTGTATAAACTACATGTATTACTTATACAACTAATGGAATTCTTTTACAGGAGTCAGATCTTTCAAAAAGTAATGATAGGGGCTTTTTAAGTCAGTGACCAGAATGTTTTCCAGCTTTTCAGTTGTCTTGCATAAATGAGAATGTTGTCTATAGAGTACAGACAGGTTGTGGCAGAGGTTTATTTTTTCACATGATCATATTAGTACTAGGCAGAAAATTATTTAGAAGTTGAACATGGTAGCATAGATTGTACATGCTCACAGTGTTCAGTCTGGCAAACTTTATAGTCTGAACGGGGATCTGAGCTCTCACAGAAATTTATTGAAGCCACTTTGTATCCATACAAGGAAACATCTTGCACGTAAACATGACCAAAAAGCACAATGAACTATGTCCCTTATACCTTTGTGCTTCTGCTTTCACTTGGACTCTGAACAGGTGTGGATATTCATGCACACTGCAATGTCAGAATGAATAAAAATGTCATGCAGTTTTATGGAAACAGTTTAACACTGACGATATGATGGCATTATAAATACCCGTTTGTTACATTTTCCTGTTTAATGCATTGTGTATGATCAGATGTAGTTTGCTAAATCATCGCGTGACAGTAAGGAGAATAGAAAGTATGAGATAATGTACTGTATTATTTGTATTATGACATATTTCTAAGCTTTGAAGTGATCAGTGCCGTGCTGTAAAATATGGACGATGTTCTCTTATATCCAGCATAATTCTGCTTTGGGCATATTTTAAATGAGGGATCTGTCTTAGTGGGCTCTTTAGTTACAGAAAACCACTGTTTTGCAATTTTCCAAATGCTCTGTCTTGTTTAACATATTAAGCAAAAGGAACAAGCTCAAAAAATAGGAAGAAGGTTATATTATGAATATCTATCCTGATCAAAGAAATTAATTGCTTGAATAAGTCTTTCAAAAATTATGATATTTCTTAGATTGGCTTATTCTGTGATAGCACTGAAAGGAGACACATGTCAGGGAGAATTTCTTCCATAATTACATGTGGGAAGTATAGAAAGATATGAAACTGCTGATGCTAGATTTACGTACTCTTAAAAAATGTTCCATGTCTTTATGCAGATAAACATACAGACACATTACAGGTTGAATGCAGCAGAAGTAACTACAGAATATAGAAATAATTACAGAAGTATCAAACAAGAAGCAGAATAGCATTTATGTGAAAAAAAAACCATTGACTGTACATAACTTGTCAAAAATACATTTGAATTATAAAATGTTGTAAAATATAAAAAAATAGTAGAAAATAAAATATATTCTGAAATGCACATAGTATGTGTTTGATACTGTAGTAAGTCAAGGAATTTGAATTCAGTTAAATTCTCCTGTTACGGGGGAACAGCATAGATTATTTTACTAAACAAAACCCTGCATTCAAAATAAGATACATGGAATGTATAAGTTTGCAGCAGCATTAAGTGTGGGAGAAAGAACTGTCAGGTTTTTAGAATGATTCTTTCATAGAAGTACTTCTGATTCCTTAGTTTCTAATGCATTTAAAAATAAGCTACGTAAATTATTTTCATAGTGCCAGGAACTTTTCAAATAAAACCATGCAAAAACATTACTGAGCTGCTGGAAATTTTAAATAATTCTTTGTAAATGCCCTAGGTTAATTTAGATCTCTGAAAACACATTAGGAAATTAAGCTGTAATGTGAGCTAATTCAAATTTTAATTTGGCAAAAGGAACGATCCAGCCACATAGTTAATGTAAATAGAAGCATAACACAGAGAAATTAATGAGGTTTCCTTCCTGAATCTTAAAGGAGGCAGATAATTAGCTTCTTTTGTTATTATTGTGGGATAATGTGGTATTGTCTTCGAGGTGTAAAGTAACTACTGCTTGTAAAATGATGTGTTCATTTGTCTTTTCTTAATAATTATTTGCATTAAACTCTTGTAGGATGAAGCAGCCCAGCCACTGAATCTTTCAGCCCGACCGAAAACAGCTGAACCTGTCAAATCCCCAACATCTCCAACACAGAACCTCTTCACAGCTAGTAAAAGCAGCCCAGTGACAGTGATGAGCAAGAGTGGCATCCCTAGCCCACTCGGTGGATCTCTGGGAAGAGGATCTTCTTTAGGTAACTAATCTGTCCTGGGGAAAGGAGAAAACTGGCAACTGTTCTACATGAAATCTCAGCTTGAGCATACTTCTGAATTATATAGATATCTGAGCCTACATTTCCATTTAAAATGAGAAAAAAAAGAATTCCAGGAAACCTTTTCAAAGAACTCTTGAATGCCAAGGTTGTACAAGAGAAGACAAAATGATGCAGCAGTGATGTGCGTCTACAAGAAATACAGCCAATAAGTGTAAAACATAGGAAATACACATACGATTCATAGAATCATAGAATTAGAGAATCAATAGTGTGGGAAAGGACCTTAAAATCATCTAGTTCCAACCCCCATGCCATGGGCAGGGACACATTCCACTAGACCACGTTGCTCAATGCCCTGTCCAACCTGGCCTTGAACACTGCCATGGATGGAGAATTCACAACTTCCTTGGGCAGCCTGTGCCAGTGCCTCACCACTCTCCCAGTAAAGAATATATGCACATAAGTAAATAGAGATGCATATATAAAACATGTAAAAGAGATTTGTATGAATATCTTCCCCAAAGACATCAACTGGGTGCATACATGCAAAGTTAACTTTTGAATTTTGACCGCTGGATTAAATAAAAAAAATAAAATCTTTGCATGCACATAGAGCCTGACTAGATACTAGACCTACACACATAATGACTCATGTGGTTAGTGCAACAGTGTAACATACCTTTAAATAAGTTTTCAAGCACTTCCTTGAGTTAGGGTCAGAGAACATTCAGTACCTCCATGGTTTATTGTAAACCAGATGCCAGGCAAAAAGATAACTCCAAATGTGGTTTTCAGCCATTTTGCCCAAATATAGGGGATATATATATCCAGAACAGCAATCTAAAAGAAATCTAATTCTCTGTATTCTGGGAATTAAGTTAATTTTAGAAAGACCATATGCTGAATATATATATATTTATTTATGTGAGTATATATATATACATTTAACAAAGATAGAAAGGCCAGCTTATTATTTAGGGGTTTTTAGTTATTGTTCATGTTTTTATTATTTGTTCACCCATCTCTCAAAATTTTCTTAATTCATATGGTTGCAAATAGGGAATTTTTGACCTATGTTCAAGATTCTTTAATTAAGAAATAATGCTTATTAAGTAATGAAATAAAAAATTGATCTGAAACAACGTATGAAGACTACCTTAACCAGCCAAGAAACAGAATCAAGAGCTGCAAAATGTAGATGATCAGCCCTAAAGTTCAAACAGTATATTTTAACAGTGACTAAATACTTACTACAGACCACTTATTCACAATCTGTAGCTCAAGTGTACTTGTAAAATATATAGAAACACTTGTGAATAATGAACAGATACGTTAAATACATACATTAAATGTATCAAAAGTATGATTTGTTCTATTCCCAAAACACTTAGGAACATCGTGATCTCTGAAAGATACCTTCTTCAGCTAGCTAGATATTCTACCTGTCAATTTATTTGCAGCTATCACTGCACTAACATTATAAAGTGGTGTATCAGTTTGAAGTCATAGACCGTTACAGAAAAATGGCTAGAGAAGATATGCAAATATCAGCAAGCAACTTCAGAGTTTGTGCTCTATTTTTGCTATAAATTGAGATGATTGGGAGTCTAGGTCTCATTAAAAGTCACACAAATATGTTTCCCAAATTACTTAGGCTCCACAATGGAACTTAGATGCTGAATCTGTTCACAGCGTTGGAAATTTTACCAAGCAAGGGCGGTGTTTGTTCTCTAATATGTTGCTTTTATTTTGGAGAAGGGCACCTCATTCAAACAGAAAACATCACAGTTCCATCTAAAACATCACAGTTTGCATCTCTACTCATCTAGACCACAGTATTAAGTCAACTGTTTGGTTCCCAGGATAAAGCGTGACAAACCATTAATTTTAACCTTTTTTCTTTTAAAAGAACTCAGGGTCCTTTGAGGTTGAACTTGCTATATTTTACTCAGCTGAACTTCAGTGAAGTCATAAGGGTATGAAATTTATCTTTAAAGGAGAATTCCAAGTCTTAGCCTGTTTGTTTGTGTGTTTGATTTATAGTGGACTGTTAGTAAGTGAAAAAATCTAATAAATTCAAAGCTTTATAGAAGACATTTTCTTGTCAGGCAAATGCACAGGTCATGCACAAACTTTGATTGCTCAGAATTTCCTAGCTGGAATGTATACACATAAATCTATCTGTGTGCAGTATAGAGGATACTTCCATGTATGAAAAGTTGAAGTTCATCACAGCAACACAAAACAAACAATTACCAGCTAATTGCTATCTTCTGTTCCCAAATCAGAAACTATATCTGAGGTACTCATCTTTACCTATAGCATGCATTTTAAGATGCAACAGGAATATTTTGTGTGAGTCTGATGCATGTTTAGAAGTTTCTCTTTCTCTCCAGAGTGATGGAAAGAGAACCATTTTTTTTTTCTACTTATTTAGAGCTTTAGACTCACATTAGCGTAATAACAAGCTCTGTCCCCCAAAAGTCACTGTGGGTGCTTCTGAAATTGAAAGCCAAATCTCTCGAGTGATGGTTATATTGACACAGAAATTCTAAAAATGTAAATAGAATTTTAATGACTTTCATGGCCAAGAAAACAAGATTTTTTTTTTCTTCTTCTTTGTTCATTTTATTAATTATTATTAATAAGTGAAAGGATTCCCACTTAAGCTTCTGTATACTGTTGTCTTAACCACACATTGAACTTGAACTTCATGAATATGCTCAAATACCTCCATATGAGGCTATGCTAAGACTTCAGGGGTTGTACTTATCACAGTAAAAGAAGAGCACAGGCTTATCAATCACTAGATAAATTCAGCCTTCAAACAGACAACAATTTCCACTCCTCTTCCTTTTGTCAGTTGGGCGCAACTTTAACAGTATGAGAGCTGAGTGCTTACCCCAGATTCTAATTTGGATAATTAGCTAAATAAAGTGATTATCTCTCTGTTTATAGATATCCTTTCCAGTCTTAATTCACCTGCCCTATTTGGGGACCAGGACACAGTAATGAAAGCTATTCAGGAGGCTCGAAAAATGAGAGAGCAGATCCAGAGGGAGCAGCAGCAACAACAGCAGCCACATGGTGTTGATGGAAAATTGCCCTCTATGAATAACATGGGTCTAAACAACTGCAGGAATGAAAAGGTAATGGCTCCCTTTACTGCACAGTCTGTCACTCACTCTTCTTTTTCCTGCAAATAGCTTCTTATTTCTATATAAAATTCCTTTTTAGAACTTTTAGCCATCTCTGATTTCATGTTAAATACAGCTTGTCACTTCACAGTACTGTGCTACAAACTTCTCTACGTTTACATGACAGCATTCAAACAAACAGCCCTGTGTACTCGTTATTAAGCTGTAAGCATGCATATAACAATGTGGAAAATTAATTGGATGAAGCTACAATTGTCTGTGGTCACTGGATTTTGAATTGTGCTTTTGAGAGTGACTGGATTGATAAATATGGGCAGTTACATACTAGCATGGTTGAATATTACAATGTATCTGATTGTGGTTGAATCTGTAACTCAGTTGCAACCAAGTATTTAGGCTCAAAACAGTGCTTTTGGCTCTTAGTTTCAATGGAAAATTAGAGATCAAAGTTCTTTGTTGAATCTTGGCTGTAGTTTCCAAACACTAAAATGAAATGGGGCTCTACAATATAACGGTAAATGAAAGTGGTGGGAGAATGCAACCAGCATTGGACTGAGCAGGATATCATATCTGGAAGGTGAGGAAGCTGTTTTTATCATACACACTTTAAGAACCGCTCAGTGGACAAAGAAGTATCTTGGAAAATTCTTTGTGGTGTTTTGCTCTGTGGCCTTTCCAGGGTCTACAAGATCTGCTTCAGGAGCAGATCTCTGTGTGTGTAAGAGCGCCGGTGAACATGGAATCAGGCAATTGGCTGGGCTATAAGGCAGCCTTTTGATGAAGAATGCTTCTCTGTTACCTTCCCTAGAGGTGGCTTCAAAAAATACAGCACACAAGTTACTTTTCACCACTTACACAAAATCTCTTATATACCACAATACTCATTCCTGTTAACTAGAGAGGGAAAAATATTATCCCGGTAATCACTATGGCATTGGCAAGTAGGAACAGCTATGATGCAATTTAGTAATGAATGAAAAGAAAACTGACGCATTCATTAGCCTATAAAGCAACCAGTGTTTCAGACTATTTGCTGGGGGGGGGGGGGGGGAAGGAACCAAACCAACAAAACAAAACGAAATGAAAACCAAATAAAACCCCAAAACAAAAATATAAAAAAGTGAAAAACTGGTAGCTTTCCATGCCTATAATTCATTAATTAAAATTCTGTGATATATCTGTATATTTTTGGGGAGGGAAGATTATATTATACTCTAAAAACTAACAAGAATTTTTAGTCCTGGTTGAGTATAAGACTTAGTAGAATCTTAGCTATATCTTAAACCATGAATTTAATGATACTATGATTTCTCCTCAACCTACAAGGAAATACTCGGTGAGCAAATGGATTCTAGCAAGGCACAGAAAGGCTAAGAAATGTTGTAAACAGACCCATCAAACATTGATAGATACCTTTTAATCTACATTTTGTATTTTTTGCTTGATAGGTTGTTTGCTGTACTCAAAACAAGCTAAAAGCTCAGTGTCTATGAAAGAGTTGTTAAACTGTTGCCACACAGGGTTAACAATGCTTTTATAAGTCAAATTCAGAGGCTAATAAATATTTATTTCCTCTAGCATTAGTTTAAATATCAACATTGAAAAACTCATTTAATATAGATTGATACTATGAAAAAAACAAAGAAATTAATAACTGATCAAGCAGGTCATATTCTGACTCTAATTGTAAAGTCAGTGTTTGTCTTAACTAAGAGGTAGAGTACTAAAGGCCATGTTATAAACATAAAGTGTCACACCTATGATCATTATTTAGAGTTTATAAAATTATGCTTTTTTAAAAATAAATTTTGTTTCAGTGGCTTGACATTTAAAAATATCTAATACACTATAAGGGCTATTAAAAGAATTCTTAACATTTGATTTGGCTTTGAAAAATAAGTATAAAAATTGCGTCCACTTATTTATCAGATCTGCCCCTGAGTATTTTCAGTACCATGTTTGTCTTGTATTTGATATAACAAGTTTCTATTTCATCTTTCACCTTTTAAAGCAGAGTCAATAAATATTTCCGTGACTAATCTGAAATTTCTTTTTCATGCCAGTTACTAGCAATGTACAGATTGATGTAGAGCATCCAAACTGAGGTTATACAGCAGGCAGGCAAAGGAAAAGAATATTTTTATTTTTTTTTTAATTTGCAAACGCAGCAGAGTCAATTGGAACTCTTTAACAAATATAAACAACATCCTCCTCAAATGCAATCTTTTATGGGGAGACTTTTCATAGTAGTGCTTGCAGTTTTTAAAACCAAAGAATAAGATAGCAGCAAGGAAATCTGTTTCTAAGTCTCTCAGTGCCCTTATGTAATCCTGCTAGGTTTTTTTATTGAGCATGTACTGTACAGTGAACCATTAAGGCAGGAAAAAGTTGTAATACATTCTCTGGTTTTACCTTTGGTATGCTGTTCTCTTTGCTCTGTAGATGCAAGAAAAGGCAGAGTTTACAAAAACGAGGTATAAATCAGTCATTTTAAATGATGATATATCCCCACTCTCTATCCTAAAGAAAATAGAAGAATTGTCAGTCATGAGTACTTACTAAGGGAATGTATTTATATTTTATAGCAAGTATAAAATACATTAAAACCAGAAGCATCCTTTGCACAAACGGAATTCTAGAATACTTCCCCCCGCCCCCTTTACTCTCTGCCTTTTAGTATTTACATTATGTTATATTTCTTATACTTTAAAAATGGTGGGGAGGATGATCAAAATGGGGGAGGAGATGATAGATCAATTCAAAAAACATAATGTTGAAGTAACTGTATGCCAAGAAGACTGTGCATAGTTTGTCTCTTAATCCCAGTAAAGCTTTGATAACTTGAATTTGAGTTTGGATTGGTTTCTTTTGACAAATCGGTACCCTATGTTTTCAGGACCAAATTTTCAGAAATTGGGTTCAGGTAATTAGACTCGTATAAATTAGTAGCTAGAAGCTGGCACCAGAAAAAGATGACAAATTAATTGCCTGCAGCTGGTTTAAAAAAGCTATTGAGTTCTGGTCAGTTGCTGGTCTTCAAGTTCAGATAGCTGGTAACAGTTTGTTGTGCAAATGACTGCACTTACAAAATTATGTACATAGCTTCAAAGCCTGGGCTTAGGCCTTTTTGAAAATGTGTCATTTAAATCTCAAAAAGCTTTGTATTTGGTTAGAGACACAGAAATGAAAATTGCCTCTGTTTATATTCTTCTGTTCAAAAAAATCTACAAAGCTTTAAAAGTACTCACAGACGTTCACTCATCAGAAAGGCCAAAACAAAAACATGCAGTTCTCTGGCACAGTCCAACTTTGTCATTTGCTAAAGCATTAAGGTTAGACTACACTTTTGACTTCTGTGGACATTTACAATATGAAGTTATTTCAGTTTGCGTACTGTTGTGGGTTAGGATATGTAGGTAAGCACCATGCGACCACTCACTCACTCCCTCCTCTCCAGTGGGATTGGGAAGAGAATTGTGAGAAAACGAGGTAGTTTTAGAAGTCAAGCAAAAACCGTGCATGCAAGCAAAGCAAAATAAGGAACTCATCCACTACTTTGCATCTCCAGGCAGATGTGCCAGCCATCTCCAGGAAAGCAGGGCTTCAGCATGTGTAACAGTGATTTGGGAAGACAAATGCCAAAACTCCATTTCTACTTCCTCCTTTCTTTCCCAACTTTTGTTGCTGAGCGTGACGTTGTACAGTGTGGAATACCGCTTTGATCAGTTTGGGTCAGCTGGCCTGGCTCTGTCCCCCGTGCAGTTTTGTGCACCCACAGCCTACTTGTTGGCAGGCCAGTATAAGAAACAGAAAAAGCCTTTATGCTGTAGAAGCACTGTTGAGCAATAAGTAAAACATCCCTATGTTATCAGTACTGCTTTAGTCACAAATCCAAAAATCAGCACCATGGTAACTAAAATTAGCTCTCTCTGAGCCAAAAGTAGTATAGTACACCCAAAGCAAAGAGTCATAATGGCAGAGTTGACTTTTTCTACTTTCTGACTGAGGAAAGAGAAGAAGTGTGTCAGGGATCTCACAGAGTAAAACACAAACACTGGGGAAGGGGGGAGAATTAGGAAGAATCCAGAAAATAGGCTAAAGAGCTCTTTCTATGTAATATAAGCAAAAGTAAAATCATACAAAAATTGGCTTTGTTTTGAAAATATGACTTTTTTCCAGTCAAGCCATGTTTACCTTCAACAAAAAAAAACTTTTGTACTTAAACAAAATTTGCATTGCTAGAGCTACTTGTATTTATTTTAGTATTTTGAGCTAGTGTGATTGCCTAAATTTGCTTTGATTTACAGCCTTAAATGAACCTGAAAATGCTATATAATTTATAAGATAACTGACATCATTTTTGAAAGGAGCAAATCATAACTTTTTTTCTGCAGAAAACACGAAAACACTGACAAAAAACCACTTAAGAACATCTCTGTAGAAAAATTATGCACAGAAGCATGTTAATTTCATTGGAAAAAAAATATATGAAGTCAAGACACAACATATACCAAATTAATAATCACAAAATATCTGCTAGACCCAAAGATATATCCCCACCTCCCCATTTACATATCCACAAACCTTATTCATTGGCATGTGAGAGGAAGCAGAATTCAATATAACGTTTTTATGTTTATATTCCATTCCCAGTCTTTTGTAGTTTTACAGGCAACTGTGTATTTGTAGTAGGAAACCAGAGTTAGACCCCAAAATAAATGACATGGGTCATACTTCCTGGGAATTATGTTACTTCAGTACCTCTTAGAATGAGCCTTTATTCCTTTCTTATTTCTTATATAAATCAAAGTATATTATCTACCCTTGGAGATGTTACAGTCTATTGATCAAATCCATATTTAGGCTCTTGGATTTGATTTGATAAGCCATAACGACCCCTTTGGATGTGTTACGGTCTGCTGTATTTAGGGACTGTTAAATATGTGGATTATTGACACAATAGAGTGTAACAACTCCTCTGGAGCTGTTAT